CCCCAAAACCCCAAAACCCCAAAACCCCAAAAATCTCAAACTTAGACTCAATATTGGGAATAAGTATTATAAAGAAACAGGTTACAGTATGTTAGGTTTCATTCGATTTAAATTCTAAGTGAAAAATGTTAAATCCAGCAAAATGGACTCTAATAGGAGCATTATTAAAGGGAGACAAGCTTGCCCCAGCAATACCTTAGGGTTTTCAATAACGAACAACTTCGGAATCAGATCTTAATGTAAAAGTGCCAGACTTTACAGAAGGATTATTCAATGAGGTCTTCTTACTCTCCCAATCCGGAAAATAACCTTCGAGAAGAATCTCCATTTGCTTATAAGATTAAAAAGTCTAAGGCTTCTGTTTCTTGACATCTGGTAAGCAAAAATCTGTGCAGTTGCCAAAATTAAGTCTCAAAGGTCAACTAAACAAGTATCAAATCAAAGAAGCAATCTGAAGCTACAATTCAAAATTTCTTTAATAATAGCAACATGCTTCTGAATAACTCAGCAACATATGCCCACAAGAGCTCAAACAAGAAAGCCAAACGCAGAGGTGTTGCTGCTAGCAAAGCTGGCAAATACAGCAAAATCAACCACAAGGGCAAGCACAGCAACAACTCAGGGTTTGAGATGCTGGCTAACCTATCATTATCCAGAAAAAGAATTATAACAGCAAAAAAATTGTCAAGAGCAAGAAGACCAAGGAGGAGTTGTTTAATGACAGTGCAGAAAACAAGAATAAGTGTCTTATTAATTTCAAACAGCTATTTAATATGTATAAAACAGCGCATAACGTGATGGCTAAATTAACTAATTAAAAACTAAAAAGTTCTTCAAACTTTAGAGCATCATGAAGTCAGGATAAAAGAAGCAAGAAGTATCTTGATGGATATTTAAGACGTAACAAGCAAAGTGTTTACAACATTTACTCTAACATGAGTAAAAAGGAGCATCCTCGCGATAGTAGAAACGCTGAGACTAGCTACATGAACATCTCAAAGCAGGAAAAATACATATGCAAATCATCAAAGAAGAAAAGTAAACATATTTTGCTCAAACTTCAAAACAAATTATCTGAATCTCCAGACAAATCAAAAGGCAAAAAGTCTTACAGCAAAAACCCAATAAGAAGTCCAATAAAATTAAATGTAACAATCTTTACAAAGCAATTCTTGGCTTAGTTGGTGACTGCAGTAGACACTGGATGAACACTGAAGCCACTGATGATGCTTCGCTTAATAATGGCAGAAACAGAGCCAAGTCTAAGCCTTGCCTTATTTACAATAACATCAACAATGTACCAACTATAACTCTTGATGATCCGAAACCCCAGACAACAAAGGCAATAGAACCATTTCAAATGAAATGGACTACATGAACAAGTCAAGAAATTAAGACGCGATCACATGCAAGCGTGACTGCTACAAGTACTTCAACCACTATGAAGGCAAAATCAACAAAGACCGAGTGCTGACTGAGGGTCCCTTCAAGAACAGAGTGGTTTATGTGCAGAAAGGAGTCGAGAACTTATTCTACAACCCCAACATGCCCCAGATGACAGATAAGGGTGTTTACTCTAAGAACATAGCTGCCTCCGAGTTGTATGCTCCATACTTCGATAAAGTGGCAGCTCCATTCGAAGACATTGCAAGGACCAACCCTTCGTTTGTACCAATTCTGAACTTGGCCTGGAGAGAATATGAAGTAGTTTCCTGTAAAATCATCCAAGAAGACCGGCTCAGGAACGGAGACCAAGACAGTATCATTCTCAAAGAAAACAACCAGAAACTCATCAATGCGCAAGAGAAAATCCAGAAACTGCAAAGTGAGAAGTCCACACTCATCTCCGACCACAAGAAGCTTAAGTCTCAGAAGGAAACTGCGGAGCGAGAGGCTGCCAGGAACTACAACTTGTTCAAGAAAGCCAAAGAAAGCAAAGACGCTCTTCAGAACACCATTGATAAACTCAAGACTCAGAACAAAGATTTGAACTCAGAAGTGGCCAAGCTTAAAGACGCCGAGTCAAGACACAAGAAGACTGCAGCCGAGAACAAAGAACTTAAAATGAAGGTCGAAGCCATGATCAAAGAGCAGAGCAAGGCCCTTGATGCTGATGCAGACAGCCAGTCTAGAGGCCAGAGCACTGACCAGAAGATCGACCTTGACTGGATTGGAATCACTAGTGACGAATACAGGACTGATTGACACAAATTTGTGTGAGGAGTCGACTGCAAGGATCACCCACTGGTTCCGAAACTTGACTTCGAGAAGATCTTCAGGTGGAGAGAGCAACAAGATGCTGATGACACCCAGGACTAATACGAAGAAGAAGAGGAGGAATAAGAACTCCTCACTGAAAACTAGAAGTTCATGTTCAAAGGCTCATTTCTGCAAAGCTATGCTTCGGAGGCACGCAAGAATGAACTTAAGCAACAGAAAGAAGAAGTCATTGCGATCCTCAACAAAACTTATGAAGATGAAGAGCCTAAGGTAGCACTTGAGTTGGACAGCATGAAGGAAGAAGGAGTGGTGTTCCACAATATTGACTCTGACTTTCAACAATTAGATATTGTCATGGGGTTTTGGGGTTTTGGGGTTTTGGGG